CAGGCGTCACTTGTGCGGGGACTGGCTTCCCTTATGGGGACAAACTGCGGAGGTCCCCATGAGGGGAATCATTAAATTTGAGGGAGAATACATGGTTAGATCAGGATAAGGCTCCAGGAACTGCATGTAAGTCATGTAATGTCCCTGAAGTAATGTTCTAATTACGTGTGGTGGTTGTGTGTGAAGAGATTAGCAATCATATTGTGAATCAGTGATGTAGCTTTGCATGCATCTGTAGGATTGCGTGTGTGTGTGTAGCACTTGGATGATTGATGGACGGTTGCGTGGAAGTTGCATAACATCAAAGAAGCTTCTGTTCACCAGCCTGGGTGAAGCAGCTCAGACATTTAAGAAAATACTTACATTCCAAATACCCTTTCCACCTTCAGACGTCTGCAGTGTTTTCTTTGCATTTCTAATAAGAGTAATGGGTAGAACGCTGGCACAGTCGCTTTGGTTAATCCTGTTGAATAACGACCGGTGGATTTTAATAAGCGTTCAGAAGTCCCCTAAGTGATTGTATATCTTGTTTGCTGAATGAAGTCAGCAAAAAAAGCCTCTATATTTAAATAACATTACTTCATGTTTATTCCCTCACCTGAGTCAATTTCCTTTTTTATGGAAACACAATGTATTATAATCCTCAGTTTGTTTACATTAAAGTCAATGTTTTAAAGCATATAGAACGTAAATATAAGTTACTCCCAAGGCAGGATCCACCAAACTACATTTGGTCCAACGAGCCACAAATCATTCCGAGAGACACTTTCGGGGGCAGCGCTTTATATAACTAGCCCAGCATTATCTGAGGTGTTCGACCGAGGGCGCGGGGGAGCGTGCTTAGTGGAGCCACGCTCATGTACTGTAAAGTCGCCGGAGCCTCGTAAGCGGGGGCTACATAAAGCAGACTTTTCACGCTAACGAAGGATCACTTCTTCTTAGGGCAGGGAGGCTACGCAGTATGCAGGCTGCTGTCCCGCAGCTGCTGCCTCTCTTGTTGGACTCCGGTACTGCACGTTACTCATGAGACGTTGTAAAAAAAAAAAAAAAAAACGAGTGGGGGGCGAACGCACTCAACCACTCCGCAGGCACAGCGCATGCCGGATGAGAATGTATGGCAGCCAGTTTGGATGTCCTGCTTCTAGGGGTCATTGGATGTCTATAATAGTGAGGTATATTCAAATATAAACATTCAAGCACCTTTACTCACTATAGCAGCTGTAAGTAAAATACATCTAAAATTCAGTTAAAGTGACCAGCATACAAAAGTAAGTATGAACACCAATGCTTCTTAGGCCCTTACATCATGTTTGTCGCTTTATTGTTATAAAGCAGAAATATACTTGTGTCCATAAAAATATTAAGTGTTTACAAGCACAATATTGACATGGCTGTACAGACAGGGTGTTGACTGGTATTTTGTCCCTTTGACTTGAATCTCCTTTTAAATCAATCGTAAAGGTTGATGAGTGGTACTGGTCATCATTGTAACAGAGCAGGGAGGATTATTTAAAGATGGTCGTGCTAACTTGAGCTGACTTACACTAATGCTCTCTTGGGTTAGGGACTCAACCCCCTAATCTGTCGGGATTTAAAAAGAACTGTGTATTCCATGACGCATCGAAAAATACAAAAACCTGCAGATGTTTGCGCCTCCGTCACGGTGTTCACTACAGATCTGGCCAGGGATTAGCAGCTAAATTAAAGATCGTCAGAGTGGCTTGGGCAACCTTTTGAATGTTCTCACATTTCTCTAAGCACAACGACACCAGAATTTGAAATCATAATAACTTTATTTGTATAGCACTGTCATGCACAATGCGCTCAAAGTGCTTCTGCCTTTGATTTTATCTATTTTAGCCTAATGTTTTTTTAAACACGTGGCTTGTGTGCGTCATTTATTATGTTAGATTCGCTTTGATGTTTTAATGTTTTGTCAAGCGCTTTCTGACTTTTGGCGCTTTCACACCAAGAGTACATTGTCCCAGGAATAGTTCCGATAGTTCCTGGGATTTTGCGTTCACAACCAAAAAGATCTGGAGCTAGTAACTTTTTTTCGGGAACCCTTTTCCACCCCTTTCAGTCCCGCTAGAGAGGTGGTACTTTCTGGGGAGGAAAGGTTTTCTTCCAATCTCTAATTGGATGGGCGAATTGCAAACCAACGCCCCGTAAAACTCGCGAAAAGGTTTGTGAAGCCGCCATTTTTATTTGCTCGCGATTAGCATTCAATTAGCATTCCCAGCGCACAAACGGAGAGACACTCGACTTACTGGCAACACAAAAAACCGCTCTGGCGATTTACCCGGGACTTCGGGTGGCAAGTATACGCCGTGAGTTTGTTTGCGCCTGCCAGTAAATACAAAGCAAGAAAGAAGAAGAAGAAACAGAAGTGACGTCAGCGGCTTCATTTGCGTAAACCCTCCCTCGGGAACTTATTCCGGTGTGACAACGCGACATCTACTAGATGGTTCTAAGAACTACAAAGATTTCCGGGAACTATTCCTCTACTTACTTTTTTACTGTTATACAGAAAACATATGAACAACAATACAATTAATACAGAAATGTAAAACATCATCAGTGATCCTAATGAAATTCCCGTGAATTAAAGCTGAAGAGAAATTAAATATGTTAAAATAAAACATTTAAAACAGAACATGTAAAATAAAAACAAAACAGTAAAACATGGACGATGTGACTAGTCGACTGAGATTGAAGTTAACCCTGGCACTGACTTCACCTCTTCAATCTGGCTTTTAATTTGTGATAGTTTTTGTATTATTTGACTTGAACTTTAACTATATATATATTTATTTGTTGCTCCTTTTCTTTTCACTATATATCTGTAAAGCTTCTTTAAGCACCTGTTAAAGCGCTAACAAAATAAATTCTGAGATTATTATTATATTAAAAATATTTGTGTAGAGATTTGAACCATAGAATTAGCTACCTATCACACACGTGAGACTTTCGCTGTTTTTCCTACACCCTTAAGTCATGCCCGGTGGACGGGGTGGACGGGGTTTCTTCCACCACCTGAAGGAGGTTTTAACCCCATTTTGTCCTATATTAGATTTCTGATCCCCGTCCTCCTCCATGAGTTTTCAGGATCTGTTTAAATCCAGTTGGTTATAGAAATGTGCTCGGCATGACCTGGAGTTATCAGAGCTGCACAGTTTCTGAGAGCATCGCCCTGCGGTTTGTGTCAAAGTGAGATTGGAGAGGTTGGGAAGGGATTAAAGGCTTTATTTGAAGCGTTGTTTAAATTTGCCACTGTTGGCTAAGCACTGAGGATAAGGTCCAGCAGGCTCTGGCTTTAAGCTGGTCCCTACAGACGGCTTTGTATAGGTGATTTTCTTTTAATAATCTCAGATTCAGTTACGCAACGTTTGCTCGTATTAAGGCAAACAATGTGTAAATAAAGTTTCTGTTTCACAAAGAGCATTATTAAATGTCCTTTTGAGAGTATAATAAAGTATCAAATTAACCTTTAAGAATTGTCGGTTAATTTATCAATTTAGCCCCTTCAGAGTTAACACACTCCCATCTGCTCGCTATTGTAATTCATTAATCGTTCTTACACTTTTACTAATTGAAATCTATAATGGCAAAAACGTCAAAACGACCCCTCTACACTTTCGTTTTAAATGTTGAAAATGCCTTCATTAATAATAAAACACTTACAGTATGTTAGACCTGAAGCCAAATTAAGATTCAGTTCTCAAATGACGGTGCCATTATAAAGAATACATTTTTATTGTTTAAAGGTGGGGTAGGTACGTTTGAGAAACCGGCTCGAGATACACTTTTTGTTATATTCCATGGAATGCTCTTAACATCCCGATAGCAATGAATATCTGAAGTGATTTGACAAAAAATCCATACAAAAATGTCATTTGTGGAAGCAGTAGTTCTGTAAAAAGCACGACCAATCATCTGAGCCGGCCCGGCTAAAGTAACTGGATGGCCTACCTGCCTGTCAGCCTTCCATCTGTGCACAAACTTATCTCGTGCCCTCATTGGTCATGTGTGTGTGCGTGTGTGTTGGAGGAGGGGCTCTGTAAGGAAGTGACAGATTTTTTCCGGTTGTGTATTTTCAAATTCTAGCGCACTCGAGCCGGTTTCTCCAAACTTACCGCACCTTTAAAGGGGCCCTATTATGCTCATGTTCATATTTATATTTAGTGTCTCTACTGTGACATGCTTTCATGCTTTAATGATCAAAAAGCTCTTTATTTTTCTCATACTGCCTGTGCTGCAGCACCTCTTTTCACCCTCTGTCTAAAACCAGAGCCCAGTCTGCTCTGATTGGTTAGCTGGTTGGCTCTGTTGTGATTGGTCAACCGCTAAGAGATGTCCCGCCCCTTAGCCTATTAGTACAATGTGTTTGAGCGCGAAAACCAAGTGTTACATAGTGATGTCACTTTGTTCAGGAAGTGAGTCCAATGGAGGTGTTTCAGGCAGGGAACTTTATGATTTTAGGCTTTGCAAACCATTACATGCACAAAAACCTACATGACACACTACAGGAAAGTGAATAACCCCCAAAAGCTTAATAGGGCCTCTCTCATGTGTAACAGTACATTTTGCACTTTTTGTTTTAATAGAAATGTGACCTTTAGCAGTAACTGAACCATATCTCCTCGCATTAATTATTGTGCAGCGTGCTAAAGACGTGATGTCTGAGTTGAGTAAACACAAAATGAGCATGTGTTGAAGCACTGGAGGTTGTGTGTCTGTGTATTTATGTGTGATACGTGCGCACCAGTGGCTTGAATAATTGATATAAAGATCATTTCGGTGGTAAAGCATTCCTGCACACGGTTGCTGTTTTTGAAATTATTCACATATGCGTCGTGTGTGAGAAGATGCATTAAAATAAGAAATGAAACGTATGTGTACCTATGGATCTGTCATCTAACATGTGTTCACAACTGAACGGGGCAGGATAGCACTGTCAGTCATTACAGCTTCCAGCATCAGAGACAGAGGAGTCTCACCTCATGGGTTTCAGAAGAGCTTGTCCGTAGTTTGGGAACGACATGAGCAGTTTGAGCTGCGTGCCTCCTGTCTTCTGAACTGAAACATATGCATGAAGAATAGAATATAATATTTCTTTATTGTCATCATACAAAGTACAACGACATTTCATTGGCAACTCTCACTGCAGTAAAAAATAGACACCATAGTGAAGTGAGTATGCAGTCAGTGCACATAAATACTGCAATCATCACACAATTGCATCTTCCAAGTCCTGCACTGAGTATGTGTTCAATGTATTGCAGTACATGTGTGTCTCCACATGGTGGCTGATTACAGAGTCAAAGCTGCTACGAGACCCTTGGTACATTACTGCACAAAGACATGCAAACAATATTTAAATTACTACTACCGTTTTTTACAGCAGTAGATACTTCTCTGCTTACTTCATTTGTATTTTTCACACTACGTCAGTAAAAGTAAATACATCAATAAACATACGTAACATTCATACAAATGTTACAAATATGTTTAGTTGTCGGGACTGATGTGCAGCTTAGTGGAATCAAAAAACTTGGTTATGAATTCAATGCCTCCACTGCTTTGGTTGCTGCATGCCATGCTGGTTGGAGCAAGTCCAGTAAATAATTCAAAAATATTTAAATCAAATCATCTCATATTTATGTATAACACCGGTTTATAACTCTGATTAGGGAAATATGAATCTAATCTTTAAATATATATACACTGTGGTACATGTTAAACATTAAAACATGGATGAAATTCAGCCTTTAACTGCGATTAGTGCTAAATCTGCACCATATCTCAATGCATTATTCATTATGGGGCGTGCTGAAGACAGGGTGTCTGAGATGAGTTAACACGAAATGTGCATTTAAATGTTTTGAAGCAACGGTAGAGTGTGTCCATTTCATGAATACGTTTTTTTCTATAAGGTTTCTTGATTGCATTATAGCATTTAGGTTTTGCTGTTATGTAAAAGTATACAGGACTGTCTCAGAAAATTAGAATATTGTGATAAAGTTCTTTATTTTCTGTAATGCAATTAAAAAAACAAAAATGTCATACATTCTGGATTCATTACAAATCAACTGAAATATTGCAAGCCTTTTATTATTTTAATATTACTGATTATGGCATACAGCTTAAGAAAACTCAAATATCCTATCTCTAAATATTAGAATATCATGAAAAAGTATACTAGTAGGGTGTTCAACGAATCACTTGAATCGTCTAATTAACTCGAAACACCTGCAAGGGTTTCCTAAGCCTTGAAAAACACTCAGCTTGGTTCAGTAAACTAAATCACAAGTATGGGGAAGACTGCTGATCTGACTGCTGTCCAGAGGACCGTCATTGACACCCTCCATCAGGAGGGTAAGACACAAAAAGAAATTTCTCAAAGAGCAAGCTGTTCACAGAGTGCAGTTTCAAAGCACATCCACAAAAAGTCTGTTGGAAGGGGGAAATGTGGCAGGAAACGCTGCACAACCAAGAGAGATGACCGCAGCCTTAACAGCATTGTGAAGAAGAGTCGCTTCCAGAATTTGGGGGAGCTTCAAAGACAGTGGACTGAAGCTGGAGTCCAGGTATCAAAAGTCACTGTTCACAGACGTGTCCGGGAAATGGGCTACAATAGCCGTATTCCCATGGTCAAGCCACTTCTGAACTCAAGACAACGGAAGAGGCGTCTGACTTGGGCTAAGGAAAAGAAGCACTGGACAGTTGCACAGTGGTCCAAAGTCCTCTTTTCAGACGAAAGCAAGTTTTGTATTTCATTTGGAAGTCAAGGCGCCAGAGTCTGGAGAAAGGCTGGAGAGGAGCAAAATCCAAGTTGCTTGAAATCCAGTGTGAAGTTCCCACAGTCAGCGATGGTTTGGGGAGCAAGCCAAGTTGCTTGAAATCCAGTTTGAAGTTCCCACAGTCAGCGATGGTTTGGGGAGCCATGTCAGCTGCTGGTGTTGGTCCACTGTGTTTCATCAAGCCCAGAGTAAATGCAGCTGTGTACCAAGAGATTTTAGAGCACTACATGCTTCCGTCTGCTGAAAAGCTCTATGGAGATGAGGAATTCATTTTCCAGCATGATCTGGCACCTGCCCACAGTGCCAAAACCACCAGTAACTGGTGTACTGACCATGGCATTACTGTCCTCGATTGGCCTGCAAATTCCCCTGACCTGAACCCCATAGAGAATATGTGGGGTATTGTGAAGAAGAAGCTGAAAGACACCAGACCCAACAATGCTAATGAGCTAAAGGCCGCTATTGAAGCATCCTGGGCATCCATAACACCTCAGCAATGCCACAGGCTGATTGCCTCCATGCCACGTCGCATTGATGCAGTAATCCGTGCAAAAGGATTCCCAACCAAGTACTGAGTGCATTAATGGACATTTTCAAATGTTTGATTGTGTTTTGCTGTTATAAATCTTTTTTTTTTACTTGGTCTGAGGAACTATTCTAATTTTTTGAGATAGGATTTTTGAGTTTTCTTAAGCTGTATGCCATAATCAGCAATATTAAAATAATAAAAGGCTTGCAATATTTCAGTTGATTTGTAATGAATCCAGAATGTATGACATTTTTGTTTTTTTAATTGCATTACAGAAAATAAAGAACTTTATCACAATATTCTAATTTTCTGAGACAGTCCTGTATTGACATGCATACTTTGTGTGAGATGTGAACCCACAGATTTGTCATCTAGCATGTGTTCACTTTAAGTGAAAGTGCTTCTAAAAATGTGATTTTCAGTATTTTCACTGAATATAAACTTTGGCACAGTTTCTGTATTCACAGAGGGGAACCCTTTGGTGAATGCTGTGTTGCCTCTGGCTCGCTCAGAGAATAGCTTGTTTGTATAAAGAGATTAGAGTTGAAATGAGAACGCGGCATGGTTGTGGCTGTGTATTTGTGTCAAGAGTTATCTGAAGGAATTTAAGCATTTGTTGGACGATTCAGGGTAAAGTCTGATGGTGACACAAAGTTAACTTTGCCTAAGCCACAAACATACATTTGGGAGGCGTGTGGCGCAGTGGGATAGTGCGTTGGTGTTCGGATCAGGGGAGCACAGGTTCAAACCCCACTGCAGTCAGCATGTCGTTGTGTCCCTGAGACACTTCACCCAAATTGCACCTGTGGGGATTGTCCACAGTATTGAGTATGTAAGTCGCTTTGGAATAAAAGCATCTAACAAGTGACATGTAATGTAATGTTATTCACATAAAACCACATTACACGATGTATTTCATAAATAATAAAATAAACTTATTATCTGATTTGGTTAGAGAAAAATCTCCTGCTTCCATTTTGTCTCGCTCAAATGCAACTCATAGCAAAACTGTGTGAAAATGTAAATATAGGAACTTTGTCTGCTGGGAATTTGTTATTTCTGCTTACAAACATCATATCTTGAAAATAAATAATTTCACAACCTCATTGTATTTGCTGTTAGAAATGTAATTGTGAGTTGGCAGAACACAATATTTAAAGAATCATATATGCATTGTGATTTGTGCAAGAGAGAAAAAAAAGTATCCGTCTCAAATGTTAGGAAATATTCTCAGGAACAGAAAATTAAAGGGAGGGTAATGAAATGACTGTAAATCCCTCCCCTTCTTCAGAGCACCCTCCTCTAACGTCTGTCCTCATTCTCTGCTGGCTTTCCCTCACTCCACCTCTCCTTCTGTCCACCAACCTGTTATCCCCACCTCCCCACTCACCAGCACCGAGGACACGCTGCCTTGCCAAATAGTGAGTCAGCTGGGCCAGGTTGGGATCCTTCCTGTCGTACAGCTCCCAGCGAGAGATGCCCAGGTGGAAGCGCAGCCATGGAGGATGGGTCTCCACCTCCTTCGTCCAAGACACTTTGTCGTAGCCTTTTTCCTCGCTGGCACTCTCCCTTCAGGCAATACATAGGCAGAACAGGTCGTTTAAGGTTACAGTCAAGCTGAGGCGCAGAGAGTTTACTCCAGGCTTACTCTGAGATATGAAAAATAAGCTGTAGGGGTGAAATTGTAAATGCAACACATTACATTATTTTGCGAAGCTACAGACACTTTAAAACTGAGAGATGATAAAAGTAAATATCCCTAGCAGTAGTTTTGCAGGAACATGAATAGCAATAGTTAGCATATTACTATCATTCTCTCATTAGCTTAAAGCACAAAGTATTGTGCTTAGTTTATTGTGTCATTGTCTTATTTCTAATTAAGAAATAACATAACATTGTTTACTAGTTGATTGTGTTAGCGTGCTAGCATTTCCTAACTAGCCCATAACACCATTTTGATAGTAGGTTATAGAGAACCGCAGTGACACGTCCTAAAACCCGGAAGTAAGTTAGCATTTTTACCACCTCCGGTTCCTTCGACAAAAAGCAACGCAATTTCTCCATAGGATTTTGGAAAATAGCTCCAAATAAGGTCTGTGGTTGACAAAGATTGAAGAGACAGATCACGTTTTGTTCTACGACATTAAATAAATCAGCAGTGACCCCCTGATGATTTCTGAAGAGTTTACGTGTCTGAAAAACGATGGTTGTTACCAAGTGGCTGAATAGGACTACAGAAGTTGTGGAGGCTGTTGTACGTCATTACGCCGAACACGAAAACACTCCCGCTAAGTTGGTTTGCCCTGTTCTGCTTGAAAGCAAGTACCTGCCTCCTGCAAACTGTTAAAACAAACGCTTCAACTTGTACCATTTTGAATCTGTATGTTTGAATATGGATCTTAAGTCGGCGTGACGTTGAAGCAGAGACCCTGCTGTATTTCGTTTAAAGCATAACGTTAGCATTTTGCTTCTGGCGACTAGATTTATGATTCGAAAATTATAAAAGTAGGGTAGACATGTGGATATTATCCGGCTGAACAAAACGTGACCTGTCTCTTAAATGTGTTTCAACCACAGACCTTATTTCCAGCTATTTTCCAAAATCCTATGGAGAAATTGCATTGCTTTTTTGTCGAAGGAACTGGAAGGAGTTTACTTCCTGGTTTTAGGACGCGTCACTGCGGTTCTCTATTATTAGAGTGTTACAAACAAAGAATATTGTTTACTATCTGGGTTATTGTGTTAGCATGCTAGCTTATTTTAGTCAGCGGAAGTTTAGTTTGTTAGTTATCTATGTGAATGTCATTTGTTTTGCAGCTATAACCAAAATGTTGGACGACTGCTGCCGTTTGTCAGTCAAGGGTTCACCAAAGTTTAAGCTAAATGTCATGCTAATCCAACAGTTGTATAGACAGTGCAGACCTCATGTTGGCACCAGAGAGGCACCATCTGTCAAGAATGTAAGGTTTTTTAATTCTAGTTATAATTGAGATTACTAAGGATTGAAGCGATGGGCCAACAGACTGACTATGACTGACATTGCCATCCTCAGACCCTTGACAGAGAGGTGTCTAAAAAAAAAGGCTTGTGATCTCATTTTGATATTAAATGTGGAAAAGGGGGAACTCAGCTTGGACGTTGGGAAGAACTCTCTTTCCATATCGTTTGTTGCTCTATATGTGACATATCGATCTATTTTCTCCATCCTTTTCACTTACCAATCACTGTCAGCATCGATGGAGTCTTCCTCCTCCTCTTCCTCACTTCCTTCATCACTTGTATGTTCAGTGTTTTTCTTCACCCTCAGCAGCCAATCATCGTCTTGCAAACTTTGAGGGGGCAGGTTGTACAGCGGGTGTTTGAAAAGCGCCTCAAGCTTAGACCAACCCTTGACCTTTTGGATCAAACCTCCAGTCAGTTTATTGACCCTCTCAGTGGCATCCCATAATAAGTCTTTCTCTTTATGGTTTAACTTGTTGGAATTCAGTTTGTGATGCTCTTCATTCTGGGGGATTGTTGGCAGTTTATTTGAGGAGGAGGCAGCCGGAGAAGAGGAAGAGTGAGAGAGGGACTGACGGTGCTCACTATCTGTTCTTGGAAGGGAAGAAGAGGAGGAGGAGGAGGAGGAAGAAGGTACACATGCTGTCTGGAGGATAGAGAAACAAAAAAATGCCAGAAGGAGGTGGAGAGCCAGGGAGAGAAACGCCAGGGAGAGATAGATGGAGCGAGTGGATCGACCCAGGTTCTGTTTCAACATGCTGGTGGAAAACACAAAGACAGAAATACACAAAGAAAGAGATTTAACATTTAAACCGATCACGGAGGCCTGCCAACCCTTCAAACGTGATCGTTATGAAACACGGGTCTGATCATTGCACCCCACTTATACACACACTCGGACATCATAAGAAAGAAACATCACTTTGAAACAACATCCATAACATTCACCTGGCTGCATCTTACAAATGATGTATCTAATATATCATATTCCAATCACTTGTATAGAATCTTATTTCACTATTTTTCTTTTTGTATTACTTTGTTCTGTTTTTCTGTTTTATCGTGTTGCTCTGTTGCTGTCATCATCATAACTACACTGTAGTACGAATGACTAATAAAAGCCTTGAACCTTGAAGAAACTTCACAAAGGAGCCATAACAAACAGTAAGGCTGAACAAAGGCACAGCAATGCTTTGAGCTAGATGCTAACATAAGCATGCTAACACGCTCACAATGACAACATGTTTAGCAGGTGTAATATTAGCCATCTCAGTTAGCATGCTGATATTAACATTCAATTAGCATTAACCACAAACAAAAGCTAAATCTGATTGGATATGTTAGGTTTCAGGTATTCAGTTATAAACTTTTGACAAGATGAAGACGCAACATGAAACGTTAAGGGATAACCAAATATATTACAGTCCTTTGAGGGGCATGAGGACAAGCTGTGTCATTTGGATATCAGATTTCATGGCTAATGCAAAAACAACGAGATCTTTCACTCATAATCACAAGTGGGAACAACATGGTGGCACAAGAGGAAAACCAAAGATCCTCTTACAACCATGGATGTTGTTAAAAAAGTATTCATTGGCATCTTGGACAGGAGAGCGTGGAGCAAAGTACAACAGTATGCTAAAAAATGTATGTTTAGTCTAACGAAATGTTACAATTACCTCTCCTGAACAGAAAACACACCCTGTAATACTGCCCGTTCAATCACAAGGTAGACTGGCCTACTTTACAAACCCTACTTTATGTTCTACTCTACTCCTAATGGGATCATAACTTATTAACTAAACCAAAATCATGATGAAATAAAGAAGATTGTAAACTAGCAATTCAAACTCATTAGAAAATGAATCACTGAGGTAATACATCAAATGAGAAGTAGGGACATTTTTCATAGACTTCAATCCAATCCACTCTTTGTATTAGTTAGATATTACTCTCTGCTCTGCGCCTTAGGCAAACACAAAACGATAAAAAGCTAATATTTAGAAGAGATAACAATTGACTGATTCATATACAAGTCAGACAGACAGGTGGATGGACAGATAAACAGGAACACATACATATTCGCACTGCACTAGTTAAGCAAAACCCAGGTATATCCATTTAGAATAAATCATCAAAGAAAGAAGGTATCAATAAGAAAGTCAATACATTATTGAACATCCACTTCACCCAAAATCCCTCTGCTCAGGCTGTAGGAATTACTTACTTCTCTCTTTCCCATCAAGACCTTTTTCTCTTCTCCTCCTCTCCACTTCCCTTGCTCTGTAAAAAGAGTATATTCAGAGTGCAGTGACATTTCTATGGCTCTTTTGTCCCGATGCTGCTCAGAAAGACTGTTTGTTATCATCTGGTCACTGCAATCCAAACAGAAGTAAAGGGACGGGCATGTTTCAGTCGCGGTGACCTGTGTCTGCGTGACCCACGGTTGAGAGAATCAATATGTAGTGCCAAATGATCTTTTGATCTGCCTGGATCAATACGGAGTGGATGATAATGGAGGTGCTACACAGCAGTACTGTAGAGACAGAGGTCCAACACTACATCACTGACTTGTAAAAGTAATCATAACACAGGAGGGTTCAATGGAGTAACCCTGAATGTCATGCTAACAACAAACAGCTTTAACTTCCTATCTCTATCCAAGTAATATTTTGACATTGTAGGAACTATTATTATATTTGCCTTGACTTTAAGCGACTGGTTAGCTTAGCTCAGCAGAAACACTGGAAACAGCTAGCTATAGCTATGTCCAAAGCTACCTCAAATAAAAATGCAAAACTAACCCCACACAATGAAATCAATAAATCCTACAGGAGCTACACACTGCTTCTGTTTGGTTTAATTTGGCAAAAAAACTGCTGCATCTAGGAACAGTAATGTACGGTGGCCCTGAAGTGCAAGACACCACAGCATTTCAGAAAACACCACAGCATTTCAGAAAACGCCGCAGCATTTCACAAAACACATAAGCATTTCACAAAACGCCACAGCATTTCAGAAAACGCCACAGCATTTCTGAAAACACCACAGCATTTCACAAAATGCTGCAGCATTTCACAAAACACCACAGCATTTCACATTGGACGGAAAGGGTATTCCTTTAGGGAGAACACTTCTTGTTTGTGATTGGACAGAGCCAGCCAGAGAAGCACTGCTGTGATTGGTTGTTTTTGCTGCCAGTCAAGAAAAGACGCTTCGTGATTGGTCAACGCCCGACAGCGCAA